ACTGGCTGGGTACCAGGAGCAGGAGCACCCTGAGGCCCCGGCATTTCTGCAGCCGCCACGGCAGGACTTGGCGCAGGTCTCTGGGACTTGAGGGCAGCTGCAATTTTTTGAGCAGCCTCTGCCGCGGCTTTAAGTAGTTGTGGTTTGAAAGAATGTAAACCATCCGAGTTAGGCGTAACCAGCGCATATTATGGTAAACCATGGGTTAGAAGGAGGCACAGATTACAAAAAGGAAAAAACTGAGCCCAGAACATGAGGTTGCATAAAAAAAGTAGTCTTTTCAAGGGAAAAATGGTTGCACTTAAAAAAAGCAAGTCTACTGCCTAACAAAGTTAAAAAGCTCAATATAAAATGCAGGTAGAACAGTTAGCTTTGAGGAGAGAAGGTCTCCATAGAACACTACACACCAGGAAAAATATGTTAACTTCCATGGTTATGTTCTAAAAATTGCGTGCAGTAGTACCAAAGAGCCCCATGCTAACAAAGGCACACATTCAAATATTTGGGATGATAACTCATGCCGAACTTGCCTTTCGGTGTTTCACCTGATGAAATGGAAGAGTTTGAAAAAAATGGTCCGTCAAAATGCCACTGGAAATGCACCAGACGTTAATACTTGAAGGTCTATCGTTTAACTTAAAGATGATAGACTCGAAAACGAAACATATACAGTCTAAAATACAGTTTCTTTCAAAAAAATCAAGAAGACAAAAAGAAGGGCTGCAACTGTGAAATGCAGGAGTCATGCTTAGATGAGATGGTCCGTGTTTCTAAGGCTCTCCTATTTACAAGTCAAATAAAAGTTGAATTGTGTGCCCGACCGGTTCCTGTTTAAATACCATCAGCGATCTCTTAGTGCTGGAAAAAAAGAGACCCATGCGAACTATGTGTGGTTCTTACACGGCGTGCATACATACATCAGATCTGAAATAAAATAGGCTGGTCCGTTGAACGTAAGATTCGAAAAATACAAGTGTAACACTTACGTGGTCCAACTTTCACGGGCAGTGGGGTAGTCGGCACCTGTTGCCCAGCAAAGTAGACTGTGACCCGATGCTCACCCTCCATTTTCGGTGTGTACTCAATAAGGTAGGGCGACTGCTCGTCGGCACGAGTAATCCTGGGCTTAATTGTGTCTTTACGTCCAATAGGATCCGTAATTTCAACTGCCAAAGTTCCCGCGCCAGCCTCTGAAAATAAAAAAAAGGCTTAATATTACGTGATCATAAGATTATAAGGTGCTTTTTGTAATGTGCCAAAAACTATCTTAACATTTGGCATCTTGTTATTTCTAAAAGGTGCAAGACAATTCTCGTTCTGTATTTTGACAGAGTTATTAATCAAGTCTGTGTGAATAATTAGCAGATTTTGGTCAAAATACGTCAGAAAATGGCGCTACAGTCATTACCAAAGAACGGAGAAACCAACCTGCTGTAAATGCATTGAAAAATGTTCGCCGACCGACAAAATTTGCGCCATTTGCTTCAATTCCAGGTCCCGATAATTTCACCTTCTTGGGATCGCCAGGGGCACCCTGGACTTGTATCATATACGGTGAATTTGGAATTTCTTTTCCTGAGTACTTAATAATGACCCGATACTGTCCCTCCTTCTTCGGCACATATGCGCAGGAATATGTTAGATTCCTATCTTCATTTTTAATGACTTCACACTAAAACGTAAAAGGCAGATAATTGACGAGAGTCATAATTTTCCTGCAAATAAATATGAATATACTCAACTATACGAAAACGGCTTAGGCTTCTGTAGATGAAAAAAGGTTAAAATATGTTTGGTTACCACCGAAGCTAATTTGTCACGACTATTAGAACTGTTAGCTGTTTCCTGCATTAAATGCTAAAGAGTTATCAAATTTGGAAATATCATATTTATTTGATTGTCTATATAAAGTGAAATAAATAGCAAATAAAGATGAGAACAGTCAAACCAGGTATCAAAAGAGGAAAAAACACCACATAAAGCAAATCGCGGTTAACAGTAAGTGCCCAAAACATTCAACAACCACGCAATAGGTTGTTTTCTTTTTGTTATAGGGTTATCAAACGTGGTTTACGGAGCATATTCAGCCGCATACTACAGAATGCGTAGAAGAATGCAAGGTATACATACTGCCTGACACTGGTAGATGCATTTCATTACTTTAAAACTTTATTTACTATGGGCATAATGATCAATGGCAGAGCCTAAACATAAGCAGCAAGGTGGTTCATCTCGACATTTTGGAAATTTTAGACTCCAACAAGCAACCTTATTCTGAAATGAATGGGCTTCTGCACAGATTCTTTTGGTCTACTTTGCGAGTCCCTATCTGAATTGCACAAATCACAGAAAGGAGAAAAAGGACGCTTTCAGAAGAAAAATACGCGATCACTGGAACAAGGATTTTATTTTTCTGACCTTTCGGATTCCGTCGAAAATACTGAATCATAGGTAATCGTAGCAAAGTCGGAGTCTGTGCACGTCTCCGACTTTCCTATGATTACCTATGATAAAGGATTCTCGACAGAATCCGAAACGTCAGGAAAATAAGACTCTTGTTCCAGTGATCGCATCTTCTTCATCTTCTGAAATGCTTCCTTGAATTCACATATTCTCCTCTATTGATAAAGGACACTTTGTCGGAATATTTGTTATTCACGAAAAACAATATAATTAAACATTTGGACATTTTAAGTGTAAACCACCATATGGCAAGTCTGAATTGGGTTAATTTCCGAGGCAGCTATCAAATACAACATAATGGTGCTTACTTATGTACGAAAACGGCGAAATAAGCGAAAACAGCTCCGTGTGTAGTCAATTGAGAAAATGATCAAGGGCTGGATTTCAAAATACCTTACTCGCTGTAACTAGGCTAATGAAGTATGAGCATAGAGCAAAAAACGCACCGGAACCGATTCACCGCTTGGTGAAAGTACAATAATTTCGAGCTGAGCTCGACCAGCACTAAACGTCTCCACAGTGAAGCGAGCAGGAGTGCCAATTGTATTTCCGGTCGGTTCCAACCCTAAAATTTAGGTTTAAGTGTTAACCGTGTAAAGACCGACAAAACAATAAAACAGTAATGAAACTAGCAATTACTAAGGTGACCTACCAGGCCCATAGGCACGAACGCGAGCAGGATTAATTTTGGGTCTGAGAGGAGCACCTTCCTTAAGTTTTGCATTTGGAAATTGACTGAGATAAGTCATCATAGCCTTCTCGTCAACTTTCGGATCAATCATTTCCTCTGGACGTATTAACTGGGGCACTTCGAGCCACTGTTCTGCGGCGGTCATGGCTTCAGTTGCGTTTTCTATCGGCTTGCGGTTTCCCCAGGTATCCCAGTCAGGACAGAGACCAGGAGCACAGGCATCTACCAAAGCGCCGATAGCAACACCACTGTTCCAGTCAGTTGTGAGATTTTTCACAGGTAAATCAGGCATTTTGCTGTTTACCCATGAGACGATTCGTTGCTTCGCTGTTGGACCTTTACCTCTGTCGTCCTTAGAACATAAATTAGAAAATAGAATAAAAAAATAATAATGTCCGTTGAATTGATTTCAGAGTAATTTAAGGTAATTTAAGGTAATTATGATCAACTATTATTTACTATATACAATTAATAAGATACGGAAATTATAATTTCCATTTCTATAAATGCGTGCTCCTACCTGTGGCAACTCCTCTTCGCCCTCCCACATGGGCAATGAAATTGAATAGTGTAAGATGAGTGTCCAGATAAGACCAAGAATAAGCTTCAAACGGGAATCAACAATATCCGTGCTATCTATAAAGTCGCTAGAAATACTCAAATAAAAATTACCGATGTTCACGAGTTTTAATCCTTCGTGCTCCTCGAGAAATTTTAGGACCATTGTAACGTTTTCTAATTTTTGAGTTCGGAAGGTAGGTCGTTTGTTAACTCTTGCAAATTTCTGCCCAGAAAGAACCTCAACTAGGCTAATAAGCCTCAATCCATCAGAAAAATCCGTTTGTATATCAGTAACTGATGATTTCGCTTGCTTCAGATGTTCATTTGCCCATCTCGTAAAAGTATTTTTTTGGAAAATCTTCCACTCCGCATCCTCTGCCAAATCACGCTCCTTTTGCGACATCTCCTCTTCGTCTTCTGAGTCCACATAGCCCTCTTCATAGAGCTTTGGTCGTTTGCTGATTTCGCCGATTCTGATTCGATATAATCAAGGTCAGTGTCAAGCAGGGCACTCAAATAGTCATATAAAACAAGATAGGTGAGCATTCCAATTCTAATTTACACTTTACAAAATGAATACTAATATGTAAATATTATAGAATTTTCCCCTTAAAAAATCTTAATACAACATTTGCGGAACGACTGCTCTGCATTTTTACAAAGGTGATGATTTTTTTTACGTAGGGCGGAAACCCATATCCATATGAAATAAACTGTGACCGTGTTTTTCCATTTATGACTTGCATTTTATTCTGCACTTAGAGAAAATTTATGTAAGTTCTAACAATACTCGTGTAATTAGTGTTTCCCGAAGCAACCCGCGCCTTACGCCAAATATTTGAACCTTTAAATGACGGTCTGAAGGGAAGGAAGGTGCATGTATCTGCTACCAAAAGAAGCCTGATAGGTCAACAGAATTCAAATGACAACAGGAGCTAGATGCATATTTCTCATACCATTTTTCATCTACAGTATCCTACAAGTGCCAGTTGATCATTGTTATAAGTTGCTTAAAAAGATCATATTTCTAAGTACGCCGGCCACTAGCAGAGTTTTGAAAAAATATTAAGTGATAAGGCAGCAGACGGACTGGCGACACAGCCAGAACATGGCTTCAGTATAAATGGTGCAGCAAACTGGGGTGTATTAGAGCATGGCCCAATGTGATGGGAAATTCATCTTTTACTTTTACTTCACCGGATTGGTAATGCCACAACGTTTGCAGTAACCGTAGTTTTTGCATATTCCTTTATAAAAGATCGTTTTAATAATGTACAGTTTACTATTAATAGTCATTGGGCGGCTGCTGACAGGACTCGAGGGAGCCCGAAGGTACAACGGCATGAGTGAGTTCCGTAATCAGTTGTTGGACGCCTTATACATTATCTCAGTATGTGCCATTAGAGAATGGGTACGAAAATGGACCCGTGGTAAAACTTCAGCTATTCGGCTCGATGAATCCCGTAATTACGACGAGCTCAGTGGTCGGCTCAGTGGTCAGTCGTCCACTGTTATCCTCGACTGTACGATTATTTAACGTACCGAGACCATGTGTACCATGCAGACACACCGTATTATTCATTTTTTATGCTAAAAGTAAGTGAAGAACAACTCGATGCACTACGCCACGAGTCTATCCCCTAGAACTAGGCATAGGAAAGCAGAGAAGTAAGGGCAAAAAACTATCTTAAAGAGAGGAGGAACAGTCGAACAGTGCAATTAATAAGGAAGTTAAATAAAAGATATGCAAAAAGACGAACACGTTCATAAATAAGGATATCCAGAGGTTTCGCTGGATTTATTGTAGAGGGAATACGTACAGAAACGTTTTCCGGCAGCTGTATGTTGTAAAATTCACCGAATATGCTAGACAGAATTTTAAGCGAGCCTGCACATTCATGACGCATGTAGATCACATGAAAAACAGTTATTTTCTTAATTATCGGCGCGTTTGTCCGTGCTAGGCACTCGATCTAGATAATAAAGTGATTCAGTCGCCCAAATTTTTGTATATTTATTTCCAAATAATCCAACCAGGGAGCCTTCATTATACTGCTGTTTATTTATCGAACCATCTGCATGTTAAGTGGTTTTGTTTTTTTTGTTTTTGGGTTATAGAAAGTTACAGTTAAATTTGTTGCGGTTTCATAATAACAAATGCAAATTCCTTCAAGACGTATAATCGCTAGCTTCA